TGAAAGGGGTTCCACTTACATCAGAGAGCTTAGATCCCCAGGGTCTCTATCTCTATGATGATGGTTTCCGGTTTGTCATCTGGTTTGGTAGAATGCTTTCTCCTAATATGATCCAGAGTTTGCTCGGAGAAAACTTTGCTGCTGACTTCTCTAAGGTAAGATTTATAGACTGCTGTATCATCATCACACCATAGTAGGCAGGTTCCGTTTGGTACTGAATGGACCAAACAGTAAGCCATATGAAATTTGAATATGTACTTTAAATGCCAACTACGTAGTTTGGTTTGAATGGTAAAATCTGATTAGACTTCCGACAATGAATGTAGTTCCATGGAGCGTATGTGGAATTGTCTCCAGTATAGATGTTGCTGATTAGAGGATCTAAATCTCTACTCAGCTTCACCTATAGCATCCTATTTCATTTTATGTAGGACCATTAGTTATCTATTTCTTTTTTGTTATAGTTAAAAACTTTCTGGTCTCGGTAGGTTATAGATAAGTATCTCCAATCCGTTTACTTATACTTTGTCATTTGTCTTCCATAGGTTCTGCTGTTGCCATCTTCTGAATTTTGTTCTCTTTATTCTACTTCTGCCCCTTTAGGTTTCACACTGATTTATTGACATTTTCCTTATTACTGCATCATCCAAATCTGTGGAATCTATAACATTTTCTTAATTCCTTATCTCCTTGATCTAGCCTGCATGTAGACAGAATTAGTAAAACACAGTTGCTTCAGGTGTAGGTGTCTATATTTTTGCTTTTCATCGGATGATGAAGAGCTCTTTAGTTCTCTGCTGTTGTATTTAGCTCTAAATGTTGTCATCTTAACTTTATTCCACTTTGATGACTATTGTGAGGTTAATTATGTGTGGCTTTTTTACTAGGTTAACAGGGTCATGCTTAAGATTTAGTCTTTTTATTTCCTTTTTATTATTTTCCTAGATATGAATGACTTGTACTTCAGAAGTACTTCCAGTTGATTTCATGTTCTGGTTTGTGGATAGCCTCAGAACTGGATTTCTTTTCCTTTGTAAGTGTATACTGAAGGCCCAAAGGTTCAAAACTTCCCATATGATTTCTCTTCCCTGAAGGTAAAAAAGTTTCCTGCATATTTGGTTTTCCGAGCATACAGTATTCAGTGTTGTCAAAGACACACTTAAGCCCTAAAGCGAGGTACTAAACATGTTGAGCACTTCACCTCGCTTTATAGGCGCTTTAGTTTCATCATCAAGGCTCTAAAGGCATACTTTTCCCTGCCAATGAGTGCAATCCTAAAGATGTGACACTAAATAATTGATATTTCACTTTATCATAATCTTTTTGCAATTTCTTTGTCCATATATTTATTACTCATGCTTGTGATTATTAATCTTGGACTACACATACAAATTTGTAGTTTTTCTCCATTTGCACCTTTTCTCATTAAAACCCGTGTTTTATTTGCACTTTGCGCTTAAATCCCAAAGAACCCTAGAGTCTTTTTGCACTTTACACTTTTGATAACACTGACTGTATGTCAGCAGTACTAATTATCATCTAATTAGGTTTGCAATGAAAGAATGGCTGCTTTGATAGCATCCATCATGTCTGATGAAGGCACATACACCTTCAGTGTCTTTAGTGCTTAGATCTGCCACTTCCCTGAAATACTGAGATCCAAGTAGTTGGAATGGAGATATATGGTAAAAGAGAAAGGAAGTGCACTCAATATGTGAGGTCATAAGATCTACACCTCACTGACCAAAATTTAGTATGTTACTCTGACAAAGTTGTCAGATGTCAAGATATAAGGAAGTACTTGGAGGATGGGCAATTTAGCCCTGATAATGATTTTGCATTTTTGAAGAGATAACTTCTCTTCTTTGGTTGCCTTGCAAATTTGAACTTAGTGAGTCAAGAAGGATATTTTTTTTTTCTGAATCTTAAAGATTCTTGTTGAAAGAGGTCCTTGATGACTTTAGGTCTTAAATCCTTGTTTGGGTAATTCACTTCATTTTAGAATAAGTTTGCTTACATGTGATATAACGTTCACTGAGAATTTACGATGTGTTTGCCTAGAGGGCCGTTCTTTGCTTATGGAAACCTTAAAACATGGGTGTATGGTCCTATCTGCCCAAGCTGGTGGAATTAATAGAGGTGTGTGCAAGCTGGCCCAGACACCTCCATCATTAAAAATAGGGTGTATGTGCCTCCGTTCTTCTGAATCTAGGTTCCCCATTTTCTTTGCGCACAAATATAAAGTCATGAGTTGAAGTTTTATTTGAACCACTCATCACTGGACATCGGGATTTCTTGGTTATCCATAAAAAAGGATTTCTTCTTTGATGCAGCAATACTCTCTTGAAGGGATGTGTTTCTTGCTTATCCCCCCCACCCCATCCCTTGCGTAAAAAAAAACGAAGGAAAAAGAAGTATTTGAGAGTGCAGGGAGTGACTTTACCTGTTAGGACAGAGGACAACTTAGGCGCAACCCAAGTTGAGACACAACCTATGGAATTTATTTGGAATGGAGGAACCGAGTTTGACACTCCGCTGGTTTCTTCGCTGATTCAACCCTATGGCCTTCACTGTGTGATGTTTTGAGACAGCTCCTGCAAATTTTCTGCTCGTCTTTAACTCTCTGATGTGATCTTTTTTTTCTAATTGCGAACCAGGTTTCACTTCAAGAGCTAGATAATGAAATGTCAAGAGAACTGATGGGTTTGCTTAAAAGGCAAAGGGAGAACGACAGATCATACTATCAACTATGCCATCTTGTGAGGCAAGGTGAACAGCCTAGAGAAGGCTTCTTCTTGCTTGCAAATCTAATTGAGGATCCAGTTGGTGGTTCTATGGGTTATCAGGATTGGATTCTGCAAGTACACCGACAAGTCCAGCAAAATGCATAAAGGTAATGACAAGTATTTGCTGGTCGTTAATTCTCTTGTGCTTGCATTATTATTGACTTCATCTTTTGGGTGGTACCCAAGTGTTCCAAAAAAGAGTTAAGGGTGAATCTTTATTATTGCATATCTAAAGGAAATTGAAACAGATTACTGGTGAAGAGATTGTCATCACGGTGATCACCTATGCATTTCTCCACTATGAACCTAAAATGACGAGTTTTAGTCTGCTTGCTGATTGAACACTTCCTATTTTAGCAGGGTTCCTGTATGTTCAATCATTTATGGTCTACCGAGTGCCGATTCCAGTAGAAGTTGGAACTTGTTGCCACTTGCAGCTATGGATGGTTTATTCAATGAGCAAAAGCTTCCATGGAAGAAATCTGCTGTTAGTGTTAATTGACACCATTGATTGCTGCGCTTACCTGAATTTCCTTGTAACATTAGTTGAAGAACTAATATTTTCTCCTCATGTTGGGATCATTTCATACACGTGGACCAGCCATGCATTAAGATGTGGGAGCAGGAAGATTGTGCTCGTCCTTAGCGCTGCCCCATTTGCTTGGGGTGAACAACATGAAAGAAATGCTAATTGACTAGTATTTATTTTCACGTGTTGGTCTGGTTAGAGTGAAATGAGACATTAAAGAGAACAATGTTGCAGTTATTTATCTTTTTGATGTTGTGGGGATAGGGTATGTGTTTGAGTGGGATTTATTTAGACTTTTGTAGAGATCTTGTACATGCATTTGCTTTGCATAACTGAATTTTTGCTGCCCGTAATAAATTTTGTTGAGCTGAAATATAGTGCAGATGATATAATCTCTCTTTTTCCTTCGGTTTTTGCATTGGGATGGATCAATAACAAGGGTGTCATCCTATTATTTGGTTTGCTTTTGTGCTACTGGATTTGGTTTTCAGATTTTTGGTGTTGTAGTTATCCAATCTAATCTGAACTAAAAGAAATTTTGTTTGATTGGGGTCTCTCAGATTTCGCAGTTTCATATTTGGTATTTTTGTTTTTCCTCTTCAGCATCTCGCAGTTTTATAGCTGCTGTTTCATTTATTATATTCGACAAATATCTTTTGGTCGCGAGCTATATGACTGTATCATATTTTTGACTTAATAGTATCTTTATCTCTGTGTAACGGCGTTGTAAATCTTTTCTAATTCTGTTTATCTGAACGTAACATTTGACTTTGAAAACACATGACAAATTAAGAATGGTGCAATTGCAATTTGCAAGAAACCAATAACAATAATGTAGGATATTCACGAAAGCGTCAACTCAATTGCTTTTTAATTGTAATTCCAAAACATAATGGCAGAATATTAAGGGCCCATTAGACCATAAAAATTACTCATTTTTTTCGGATTAAAGAGAACAACATATTGCAATGTGAGTTGGATAATAAGATTATTCCTCCTCTGCTTCTAACATATCTGTTTACCAGAGGTGGTTAGATACCTGTCAAAGCCAATGGAGGAGAGAGCAACAGGGAAATGAGAGGAAAAGACTACTGCAAAATCGCTACAGATAAACACCCGTCTATAAGTTTCATGCCTCGTTGAAAACTACCAAGAGAACCCAGCAACTCTTAAGAACATAACAAAGTGAACCTCATACTGGTCTTGTCTCCCATTGACAAACAAGCAGCTTAATTAATATGGACCATTCTGAGAGGAAAAAAAAGATATATAACTAAAACTCGAAGAAGGTAATGAATGAGATATCTTCAAGAATCAGTTCTTGAAGATTTCTCATTTAGATGGTACAAAGTAGTGATCCTAAAACATACTTACTTTTTCATTTATAAAAGAAAAGGAATTCAGAGCTATGCAGTATTATAGTTCAAAGAAGTTAGGGCAACAACCTAGGTGCAGAAAATTTTACCAAGGAACACTAATTACCCAGACTTAAGTCATTTACCTTCTGCTAGCATCTTATTCCCCATACATTTCCATCAGTTCATAGCATGCCAATTTGATACTCAATTTCTTGAATACAATCACCAGTAATAATTAAGTAAAACCCTTGAACACAGACTATTCTATCAGTACTAAACTTCTCAATCACTTTGATATAATACAAAGAAAGGTAGCCAATTGTGAGTACTCACTCTCTGCTAGAGAAGTCAAGTGAACATTCCAATGAAAGATAAACCTTCTCAAGGGTATGTAGCATGAAGGCAAAGTACCACATGGTTGCAAAAACAAGCAGCACTAAAGATATTAAGTTGTACAAGAAACAGTCTGTCTAAATTTTGATACAAAAAAGGGTTGTACATCGGTAACTGTTCTGAGTAGAAAACCATGAAACATATCTCTCTAACAGTCAAGGAATCTTGAAGGAATAATTTTACTTGTATCACCTCAAAAATAATATAGAAGCATGTACAATATTTTAAGCTTTGCAAATGTCGCGCTGATCATGAGAACTACCTTCATGTAGCCATAGACGCCAAGTCTAGTTCTTCATCAGAATCAATGCAATCTTCAAAATCATAATACGGATTCACCTGTGACAATAACTTAGTCAATGTTATTACTAAATTAAACAGCCATGACAATGCAAGTAATTTCAAACAAATTTACTCTTCGTTTACAAAAGAGAACACCCCATGAATTTCGATTCAAGATAAGACAAAGCTTCAAACTGTTCTATACCTTGGGTCGGGGCGTCACTGCTTCAAAACTACGATAAACGGGGATGTCAAAATTAGGAGGTTCCAAAATAATATATGCTCCTTTATTTCGGTACCTATCCTTTGTTGCCTGCAGTTAGAGCACAAACAGAAAGATCAGTTTCTCCATTTCATACTACAGATGTTTTAAACTTTTTGCATGTGTATAAAAAAGTGAACAAACATGATAAAACCTAATTTTGATGAGATGGCTAGCTATTCCTACCATATTGAAAAGGATCCATCACTAGGAAAAGGCTCTCGAAGCAATAGAACACAATGATTCATTAAGTAGATTCAAAGTGGTTTGACAATTCTAACTAGTGCAGTTTCAGGCCTCCATTGATTCATTAAGTAGAGTATAACACATGACTAGAAACCAGGCTTAATTCCCAAGCTGGAAACACTCCTGTTAGGCTCCAGAAAGAAACTTCATGCATAAATTGAATCTATTTCGGTAGAACCTTAGGAAAACAGTAATAATTGCAGCACATTCTTAATACTCCTTGAAGTGACAAACTGACAATTCGCTGTGTTAACACCAAAATTTGCGCATGGGCCAATTCCAGAACGCTCAGCAGGTGTGTTATTGGAAAATTTGTTTATAATACGATGAATGAAGCCCACAAACTACTTCCCGAAATAGGGAGGAAGTGACAGTTGACGATCAAGTCATGCAAGATTTTTACCTTGCAGCGACCCGGTCAATTAACCATTTTCAACCTAGAGTAAATGAATGTTGGTTAAACGTGAGAAAATGCTGATTAGGCAACATGCAAAACAAACAAAAAAAGCAGACTACTCCGACCCTGAAAGATACTTTTTCACCTAATATACCATGAAAGATAGAACTACTGAAGAGTGAAGTTCTTTATGCATCTTTATTAAGTATTGGTTGCCAAAGTACAAAATTCCTAAACTCATTCTACATCTGGCTGATGCAATCATTGAAAGCACACAGGCCACGACAATAGAAGATAAATGCTCCTAATATACCATTCATACGTTGTTTCAAAATATATATATATATATATATACCATTATTACGCTCATTGGGCACATATTTCAGGAAAAGAAATTCTGAATCAACAGATGCATTACACAGTTTCTATCAACAGTAACATAGTGTGACTTTAAAGAAGCACTGCACTTCTACAAGACATCTGAAAGTAAACACACCAGAGGTTTTCATAAAGGAAAGATGAACTGCATACTCAAGTATAACACAAAATACAAACTCTGACCATGGACGATGTAAGGTGAAAAAGTATGAAATAGTGAATGGTAAAATTGAAGATACCTGAAACTGTGGATAGTCTGGGGCACTAAACACTGTAATCAATTTACCGGATTGGACCTCATGATCTATGGTATACCCTTGATCCATTCCTTCCATTCCCTCTCTCTTTTCCCTTGCATCTGGACCTTCATGTGACCTTATAATCAACTGAGGTTGCAGCAATCAAAGACCAAAATGTTAGCAATTTTCTCACAGATAAAAGTCACAAAGGAAGATGTCAAAGCTCACAGTAAATACAAAAACCTAAAGCTACATGAATAATGTAAACATAAATAGGATAGATGTGAAATAAGAATAGTCCTGAACATGCAAATTATTACGTGAGAGGCCTATGTCTCGCAGTAGTATCTTCAATCCTTTGTGTTTCTTCACTTCTTTGTGGGTCTTTAAGTGGTTAAATGCTTTGTTCACAGATACTTCGAATTAAGATCTCATACAACTTTTTTCTTTTCTTTTTCCAATGAAATGATTGGGTTTCAAGTACAAGTAAATTTATCTCCAAAGGTTCATCAGTAATCTCTGGGAAATATTCTGGTTTTCCAGCTACACTGGATCCACTATGTCAGAAAGAGGAAAGAATTTCAGATATTAATGTGCACTACTATCTTAACGTACTAATTTTTAAGGAAACAACAACCAGATCATTTTCTTACTTAAATGAGTGCTGGTAATTGCATGATTTTCTTATATACCCAGTATAGTTATGTCTAAACTCATGCGCTTGTAATTGGTTAATACTACTAGTATTGCAACTGGATAGAGACCAATGCTCTCCTCAAGAAAAACATGTTACAACCAGCCCCCTTCAGGTGAATAAACATGAAAAGACTTTTTTATTAACATTGAAAAGAGGTGCATCAACTCTTTGTATGTCCACCTAATTGACTACTAGATCCAAGGGGAACTGATCCCAAAAGAATCTTCCTCCATGGTACGAAAGCAAATTGATGAACCAAGTCAATGATGAAACCAGACGAAAGGAAGGTGAGATGAAAGCCCTTCAGTCCACTAACTAGGAGACCATATTTTAAAAAATAGTACAGCCTTGTCCATTAACTGTGCGTAGGAAAGTCGAACCCGTGCAATAAATCTTATTCAACCTTTGGAGTTGCTTTGATTAGTTATGTTTATCTTCTCGTGGACTCAAATTATGCAGATAATTAATTGATTTCCATCTGAAAGTACATTGGATCATTTCCCTTACAGCCTTGCCTGATAGTATAGTTTCAATGTTCATCTTCAAGGAGGAAATAGTGATGAGATGAACACAGAACTCCATGAGTATACAGATAAGGCAGCAACCCAACCTCTGATTTGTCATGTGTAACTGAATTGTTATGACTACGGTAAAATACATAAAAGTAAAAGTATGTCCTAGTGAAAATTTGTACAAAAAAGAGAGAAATATGAAGTAACTTCAATTTGTGAGTCCCATCCTATCTTAATTGCTGTCATGGATGGATGACTCAAAAACTGCAGGAACTATGGTTCTAGCACAAAGGTTGGTTAACAATAAGTTTGGTTCCAGAAAAAATGAGAGAGAGTAAAGGAAGAGAAAGTAGTTGGTTTGCCTTACTTAGGTTAGATATTAATACAGTTGGAAAAGTTGGAAAGTGAGTAAAAGCGAGGAGGGACACTTCACCTCTTCTTTCACTTCCTTGTATATACGAGAGTAACAACCCTTATTCTTCCTCAAACCCCTCTTCTAACACATCAATCAAATTTAAAATTGAAGCTATTGAAATCTAATCCAAAAACTACAAACTCAAAGATTATATTCTGAAAAATATTATGTCCAATCACATCATTCACACCATACAACCGTCCGAACAAGACATAATATATTGTAGAATTTCATTCAAAAACAAATGATAAAAATGTACTGTAAGCCCTGATAAAAGACTACTCTAAAGTAATTTAGCAGTAGGCAATATCAATAACAAGAAGAAAAGAGCATATACAAAGAAAGAAATACAATTCAAGTAGTTTACCTTTAAATTCAACTTCTTCAAGAAATCTTCTGTGCAATCCGGACCCCATAAGAGACCAATTCCTCTTTCTTTATTCGGGGAAAGTCCAGGTTTCATTGACGGGTCTGACCATAAGACATCACCCGGTATCAAATTCGTACCTTCCCAAGGAGGATCAAGGACAGATCTCCTAGCTTTTAATAATTCCTCCATAGAACCAAGAGATAAAGCAGTAACATCGGGATTCGAAACTATTTTACGGTTCTTTTTCCCTTTAGCTCTTTTAGCTGGAGTGACAGCAATACTACGGAAAATACCTCCGTGTGCAGTGTAGACCTTATCACCAATAATGGAGGCAAGAGGGAGTCCTTCGAAACATCCTAAACATTTCCTGTAAACATGTTTCCCATTATCCGCATACTTGGCTAAAACCTCCTTTTCAAAACCATAAACAGAAGTACAGTACTTTGACTCGTGATTTCCACGAAGGAGAAACACCCTATTGGGCATAAAAACCTGAAAGAATGTACAATTCCATTGAATATCGACAGTTGCATTTGACTGATATATACTAGAAAGTCAATTACATGAACCAGTTGAGTCCAAAAGTTACAACACATCAAAATATCAAGTTGAAGTAAGGTGCTACAACCTCACTATTGTTTGACGCATAATACCCTATCCCAGCTAAACAAGGCACAAGAATGAACCAATATTACCAAGGAATTAATATAATTGACAACACTTAAAGGAAGATGAAGGGTAATAAAGCTTAACCAAAACTGAATTTGCCTATTCTACAGATTACTATGATACAAAGCCTGGTACTTTAAAGTTAAGCATCACCATCCTATTTTGTTGTTGTACAACCTCCAAATGGTAAATGACATTGTCATTGACAAAGTGAGAAACTATCTATCTATAGGAAGAATACCTCCTCAAGTTTTACAAAAACCTAATTCTCCATGCTAAGTGACCACATAAAACTGATAATTATGATCAACAATTACGTTTGCTGATATAAATTCCATAGACGAACACAGTAAAGTTGTTATCTCATCACCGGACACAACTTGCGCTACGCAGTAACAGTAAGATAACCAAGTAAGTAACAACATAATTGATACTATACATTACCAAACTGAATTTCAAACTACATTACCTAAATATTTCATAAAAAACAGTTCAAGATTTTCATTACAGGAAACAAAGAATTCAAAATTTGTTAAAAAGATTTTACCTTCCAAGCCAACAAGGTAAGGAAGGTCTCAAGACCCCAAGCACCTCTATCGACATAGTCTCCGTTGAACACAAAGAACCGATCATCAGAGGGAAAACCCGCATCTCTCAATAAGAACAAGACATCATGTAACTGGCCGTGTACGTCCCCAACAACAATAACCCTCGAATCCTTTCCCAACCCCAACTCGCTATCGATATGCACACAATTGGGTTCTTTATGCAAGATCTTCGAACCCGTTAGTATAAGCCGATCAAAAACCGCTACAGGTAACACCGATGGCAGCTCCGTCGGAGCAAGATTCTTGGATGACCAATCAAATGCTAACATCAAGTTCGTAACCCAAGCTAGGGTTAAAGTCCCGTCTTCAGGCCATGAAATTGGAACCTCTGGATGAGGCTGTGGTGGTGAAGGAATCGGGGTGGACGGCGATGACGTGGAAGACGTCGATGCCACCGATACAGACGAGAAAAAGTCCTCATCGGATGACGGCGGCGGAGGGGTGGCTGATGGTAAATTGGCGGCTGCGGCCGGTGGTTCTGATTCTGATAGCATTTCAACTGGATGCGTGATTTCCGTTAATTTTCTCTAATTCTTGAATTAATATTTTTTTGGTTAATTTTTTATTTTTATTTTTTCAGTTGATAGAATACCTGAGACAGAAAAAGAAGTTTTATTGACAGAGTATGTTCATGGGGAAATGAGAGAGAAAAGCCAAAATAGTAAATAAATTAATTAATATTGTGTTGGTGCTGTGTCATTCACAGCTCAGTTCACTGCTCGTCAGCTCAGTTCGTTTGGACATAATTTAGTCAAATTTATGAGATTGTCATAATATATGTATCCAAGGGATGTCTTTAGACTTTTTTTTTTCCTTTCTCTATTAAAGTTTAATTATTTTGACTTATTTAGTATTAGTATCTATATTAGAGTTCAATTATTTTGAATTACATTATGTAGGGTTTCAATGAGGAAAAAATATTCCTTATCAAAAAAAAATTATACCCAAATCTCAAATCCAAGTCCAAATGAGGGAAAAGTTCATATCCTTATATATAATTGATTTATGGCAAATTATTATATTAGCAATATAATTTTTTTAATGCATGTATTAATTTGATTAAAGATATAATTATCTTTAATAAAATAAATTACATGTCCTTTCAACCACACATAAGAGTATTCATTAGCGTGAAATCTTGACTAACAAAAGTTGTACTGAAGCGGTAAGTGCTTCTTTGTACAAGTTTAAGTTTCTACTTGTGCACACTTAAAATTGAAGGGTATAAATGTTAAATAAGACAAAGTTAAAAGACACATTTATGTATTACATTTTGATAATAATAAAACGACACAATAAAATAATAAGTGCATAGTCAAATTAAAATAATAAAATATATATGTAAATATAATAAGTCTAAATTTTGGTGTTGATAATTGATAACATTATCGGAAAAGCTTGATATCATTATCCTTCAAAATATAAACAACTTGATATATGTTTTCATGATTTTAGTGTGATCCTGTCATGAATTTCACATATTATTTCCTAATTTGTCCAGTTATCTAATTAGATTTTCACCCCATATAATATTTCATATATTATTTTTGTGATGTTCTAAACAAAAAAATAAATATATAATTTATACATATTGCTTCAATTTTTTGGTATTCATAGTAATGTACGTCTGTTCATATAAAATTTCATAGCGGATCAAGTTTAACGAGTAATTCAAATTAGTATTATTAGTAATTAAATTTACTATATATGTCTTTAATAAAAACTTGTTTTTTGATCAAATTGTAGATAATTTTCTAATCAAATCCCTCGTGCATTTTGGAAAAAAATCGTCTACGAAGTTTTAAATAAAGATGCTATTAGGATCTTAGGTCCTATATGGTATCTTGATATTATGAGTATGAAGTTTATTAATTATTTAATTGTGTGCGCTTCAATGCATTTTCTGTGACAAAAATTGCATTACGTCGAAATGTATTTAGCAGCCTTTTAGGAATATTTTTTTTTCTTGTCCTACAATTTCTTTATTTATTATGATCTTATAGTTTATTCTATTATAAAAGTAAATTTGATAATGCAATCAATTTAATTTGACCTTAATTAACTAAAATTTCAGCCGGTATATTTATGGAATTATTAAAGCCAAGAAATTTAGCTTGACATCTTGTGCGTAATTATTTGCACAAATTAAAGAAGATTGATTGCGTTAAAGATTTGATACAACATGAGCAGAATATCATATATATATATATAAGAATCCTAGGCCCGTCTACGTAGCGCTATTACAAATTAGGATTTCCTTTTAATTTATTTTATTTCTAAAACTAGTCTTTCCCTATCATGAAAGATTGTGACTTTTAAATAAGGTTGTGACATTTTCGAAAGGTTGTAATTTTTCGAAAGAGTTCAATAAAACACAATAATCATTTGTTCACACTACGCTTTGTTTTCTATAAATAGAAAATTTTATACTTCTTCTTTTGGACAATTAAATATTCGTGTACTTTGCTTCTGTTAAATGGCTCAATGACAAATTAGAGTGTCTACATGAACTAAATGTATTTGATTGGTAATTCGTGGTTTCTTAACAATATTTAGGATATCAAACAAATTGTTCTTGTATGTATAAAAAAATGTATAGTGCGTTACATCCACAACTTGAGATTAATACAAGAGAATTTCATAATAAACAATCTCTATATGCTATGTATTCAGGGCAAAACAGAAGCTCGACACATGGGACAATCTTTTTTCCTCAACAGCCATTGTTTGATGCAGCCCGTATGATATTCGTGACCACACCCAAGTGTCCCAATGGACTCTTCATGCTCAAATTCTGCTTGACATATGGCACAAATCTCTTTAGTTTCTGTGGGATTATTTACACCATCAGCAACACAATGAATTCTTGTTTTAAAATACCCCAATAATATAGCATCATCCTCTTTCTCCTCTGTGTAAGCCCGTTGATCATCAAACAGTTCACTTGCTGGTTGAGAATCATCTGAAGAATTTGGTGATAATCCGCCATTGAAATAGTCTTGTACATGTTGCTGCATTAAGGCCCTTTCCACTAAATCGCGACTACTGACGTTAATAATTGTAATTCCGCCATTGTGAGAGTTACTGTGTGGAGAAATTGTGGCTTGTAATCCCAAAACGAAGGGATGATCGTGTTGTCGTCTTCTGGAAGAATGATAATAGGGGGATCGCCTACTTCTCATTCCAATCCTACGCGAATTGACAAACATAAATTGTGAGTGACTCATTGTTCAACACCAGATTTTCTAAGTACGATTTATTTATTTATTTGAAGAAACAGAGTATGAAGGTGAAGAACACAGTATGTATAGAGTTGGGCATTCATACTTTCTTTTATGTAAAGTTTCCTATTTTATTTATTTCTCCTACGATTTAAGGATTTAATTTCCTATTTTTTTGTATTTTTTTGTTTTGGAAACTCAAGGGGATACAAAAAGTTTTCCTATTTTATTTATTTCTCCTACATTCTTAAGGAATAGGATTTAATTTAAGGTAAAGAGAAGTAGATGGAACATAAATTAATTTCCCACTAAATTTTTTTTTGTAAATAGAGGCAATTTAAATTATTAGTAAAAAAATATATATAAAAGAAAAATAATGGAACATATAGTAGTCTCACCAAGAATACTTCAATGGCTTTCCAACAATGCCGAAAGATACATAATCCCATCGGTAAGTGGTGCATACACTTTCTCCAATTGCTCAACCAACACAGAAGAAGTAGCCAAAACAGCACACCAGGCCTTAACACCCTGTAAAATATCAAAAAACAAGTGTAAAAGTGTCATTGGTATCCAACATGTTGTCGATAAGTCTTTGTGAGATGCTAATGTTCAAAGTTTCATTGAAGTCAATATAATCGTTATGCTCCTTTTTCTCATTCTTACAGCAAATGTAGCTACACCTCCTCCAGTATTCATCCCAATTCTAATCGTTCCATCCTTCATTACTGCTATCACTTCATCGATAGAGAAGTCAACACCAGCATCCTTTTTCACTGTCCAACGAGTCTTCTCTCTGCCATTAAGATCAAAACAATCCTTACAATCATCAAAGTCTGCATGACAGATGACTGATCAAATAACCATAAGTCTTACAAGTATACGCAGTCCATACAACAGAAAAAATCTGATGGTTTTTTCCATAAGCTCTGAGGAACAGGGTAAGGCTAAACATATTCTTGTGGAGCAGCTACACGACATCTATGTCGATGACGTGGCTCACTACCTTTAAGTAGTCGGCGCAAGAACTGTTAACATTTTATGACATGTAACAATTAAGAAAATCTTGAAACAGAGTACATGGATGTAAAATTGGAGACATGATTTTGTCAGAATTGATGTTATTTTGTTGAAGCAAGTGTTTCTTATGAATAATAGTATATTGTCCAGTTGTGAATGGAGATCAAACCACTGATAGGGAACATGTTCTGGCTATCCCCCAAAGATTTTGGCACTGTACAGGAATAGCAAAAGCGAAAACAAAATCCCCATTGCAATTTCTGGGTATCCCCCAATCCCTGCCTTATCATTATAATCTATGTAGCTCCCATCGGAATTAATCTTGATACTTCCTTGATTCGGCATTGTCCAAAGAACCATCCTGCTAATTGTATTTGGCCTGAGTCTCACAAATTTGGACCCATTGATAGTCTATCTTAAAGCAAATCCTTAGCCACTTTTACTATGGAAAGTGTTTCTACTTTCTCTCAAGTTGTTTGGTGTTAACAGTAATTAATGTCCTCATTATTGTCCAATTGCGGAGGACAGACTCATAGTAGACAAACCCCCTCCTCTTTTGCAGTCATAGAAGTTGGCATTACATGGCAATGACTCAATTTTGCTATTTAGATGCCATTCAAGGTCAGAGGAATGGCGCACCCCAAGGGGAAGGTGTGTGATGTAGACATCCTACTGTAATGTACGCATTAGTGATTGCTTCCACAACTCGAACCCATGACCTATAGGTCACATGGATACAACTTTACCGTTGCTCCAGGGCTTCGCTTCGAGGGCTGCACACCATTCAAGGTTAACTTTGCAAATACAAGTATACCAGGCAAGTGGTAGAACCGTCACATGAAAGATTTTTTAATAAAGCTTAACTTCCTATATCATATTCCGACTAAAATTTGTTTTCCACTTCTCAATCAGGTTTCCCATGTCAAACTACCTACAGTCTAGGACAATTGAATTTTTTCCTGCGATGAGGTACTTCACAAGTTCAAAGCTACGCCGTCATACCTCCAATAAGCACTAACATACTAATTATTCGACATTCTCCATAACAAAGTTATAACAAGCAGTAATGCTATGGATGCTGGCCATAAAAAAGAGGGGAAAATAGAATAGAAACTCACATATTGGCTGATTAACACTATTGCCCAATGTTCTCCCTTGTGATGAATTCTTTAAAAGCATCTTCAATCTGCTTCACCGCTATTTCTAAACCATAAGAAATGGCAATATATATACATTACATTCTTTCTCAAAAAATAAATTAGAGTGATAGAAACGTAAAAAGCTCCATAACTGCCAAGAACTTAACAATCCTAATCAAGCAACCTCGATTTTCTCGCTTTCATAATTTCTTCAGCTATTAAATCACAATAATAGAGAGAACAAAAAGTTGAAAACATACTTGAATAGACAATAAGATAGTTAATTTCCCTCCTCGAATCAACATTGCCAACTCCTGCTAGTAAAAAATCCAGTGATTGTATCCTACATTAACCAGTTTGCAAGTACGCAATGAGAACATGAATTTGAAACTCCAATTTCCCTGCAATTGCAATAAGATCAAAGGAATTGACTTGTCGATAGGGGGCCATAACACTAACAGTATACTTGATGTCTCCTATTTCCACTTTGTAGTTTGTTGGAATCAGAAAGAAGATTTAAGAACATATTCAATCCAATGACACAATCCAGTTTTATACACCATCATTTACTATAATGAATCCGTTCAACAACATACCCAATATAATCCCACAAGTGAGGTCTGGGAGGATAGGGGATTTACAAGACCTTATCCTTCCTTACCTTTGTGGGGTAGGGAGGTCGTTTCCGATAGACCCTCGTCTCAACAGAAAAGAAAAAAAAATTGAAGCATGGTAGCAAGAAAATATGAGGGCAAAACAGCAAGATACAAATCAAATGAAAGCAACTAATACTAGTACACATAGAAGAAGAAAAAAAGGAAGTGCAACAACACTCAACTACCTACAAACCTTCTAACCTAATCCTGACCTCCACTCCTTTTAGGTAACAGATTCAAATTGTAAAGTTAGATATGAAAGCATATTGATTATTAGTGAAAGATTAAATAGTGAATCACCTCATCAGCAATCATAGCAATGAAGGCTGAGTTATTTGTTCTGACCGGTGCTCGATTCACCATCTAAACTAAAATGATTGACCAACTACAAGAGAATTACAAACAAAAGAAAAAAAACTTTGTCAATCACATGTCTAAACCTAATTAGCAAAAACATGAATTTGGGGATTCTGATAAAACTTCAGATGCAAATTAATTGGGGAAGTAAAACAGAATCACAATATACTAATTGAACTAGGTTTTTCTGAATCTCGAAATACGAGATGAGCCATGTAAATCAAATGTTGATAATATTCTAATTGAATCCAGACGAAACAGGAAATAAAACAGACTGAAAGAAACTCCGAATAGCCGCACGCCGCCGCCGAACGGCCAAAAAATACAGACTGACCGTGAATCTCGAAAAACGAGAGGAGCCATGTAAATCAAATGTTGATAATATTCTAATTGAATCCAGACGAAACAGGAAATAAAACAGACTGAAAGAAACTCCGAATAGCCGCTCGCCGCCGCCGAACGGCCAAAAAATATAGACTGACCGGAGCATCTGCGCCGACGAACGGCAAAAAAATTTGGACCATTTCTCGATTTGTGCGTGTCATCCTTGCGCAGGGGCCATGCTAATCTTCTCTGTATCGTTCCAATTTTATCGGATGTCCCCGAAGGGACGAACTCCATTGCTTCGCTACTGTTCTTATTCTGCTGCAAACTTCTCACTGAGCTAGATGTGGGAGAAACGTAAAAGAAGAGTAAATGTCGTTTTGGGTCCTTAAGTTTTGAAAACCAACCATTTCGTCCTATTTTACAACGTTTATTTCAACATAATCCATTTAAGTATTCATTCCTTCAGTTATTTTGACAATTTTTATGAAGACTCAATATAAATAATTTGTTGCTTCTTTGTTATTAGTATTATAATATAAAGAGCGAAAAATTCAGTAAGAACAGTGATCATTGATAAGATCATTCAAGTTTCTGATCAAAATTTGTTTTTTATTTGTTATAATCTATCTATATGATTATATCTAATAGGAGAGGAAAAAATGTTTATGTGTCAGCACTATAAAAATCGTATTTTATTTGTTATAATCTATATATATATATATATATATATATATATATATATATATATATTATTTTCAATTTCTCTCTCTATATATATAGATAGAGAGAGAATATATATATATATAGAGAGAGAGAGAGAAATTGAAAATAAAAATAAAATTGCAAACATAGAATGGAAAACACAGTAAAAACATATGTTTAACTAATTATAATAATTAAATATAAATCATTTTAAAATAATTTTAAAAATTAACCCCATGTAATTGGAAAATTATTTTAATTTTATTTTTTAAAATATTTTATTTTCTCACACAAAGGTTGATGATCTATTTTAATGAACATTTAGTATAATATTCATAGCATCTAAAATCTAATATATATTTATATATATATATATATATATATATATATATATAAATAGAAACATAGAAAATTATAAAAATAAAATTTACAAAAGTAGAATGGGAAACAGGGACAAGAAAAATGAAAAACACGAACATTTTGTAATATTCATAGCATCTAAAATCTAATATTACTAAATGTTAGTGTTTCCATTTTTCTTGTCCCTGTTTTCCATTCTACATTTGTAATTTTATTTTTATAATTTACTAAATGTTCGTGTTTTTCATTTTTATTGCGTATGCTTTCCATTCTACTTTTGTAAGTTTATTTTTATAATTTTTATGTTTCCAAATGGGGCATCTACATTCTTCATTCTACATACTAATCAAACTCACATCACTGGTAAGGCAACACAAAGAAGTCATCAACATTCTTGCGCAGAGTAAGCTTTAGCCATGGCCATGGAGACAAAAAACTCAAAATT